ACCCCAGCTTCCGCCCCAGCTTCCGCCCCAGCTTCCACCCCAGCTTCCACCCCAGCTCCAACCCAGCTTCCACCCCAGCTTCCATCCCAGCTCCACCCCAGCTTCCACCCCAGCTTCCACACCAGCTTCCCCCAGCTTCCACCCCAGCTTCCACACCCCACCTCCACCCCAGCTTCCACCCCAGCTTCCACCCCAGCTTCCACCCCAGCTTCCACCCCAGCTTCCACCCCAGCTTCCATCCCAGCTCCACCCCAGCTTCCATCCCAGCTCCAGCCCAGCTTCCACCCCAGCTTCCGCCACCAGCCTGTTTGGAAAATGTAAGAAGTAGAAAGTACAGGTATTTGTGTTCAACATGTAAGAAGTAGAAAGTACAGGTATTTGAGTTCAAAAAGTAAGAAGTGGCGTGTGGCGCAGAATAGTGCCTTGGTGCGTTGGTGTTGGGATCAGGGGGGCACAGGTTCAAACCCCACTGCAGTCAGCATGTCGTTGTGTCCCTGAGACAATTCACCCCAAATTGCTCCAGTGGGGATTGCCCACAGGATTGAGTATGTAAGTCACTTTGGATAAAAGCAAGTGACATGTAATGTAAAAATTTAAAAGTAAAAAGTCATCAGAAAAATAAGTAGTGGAGTAAAGTACTGGTACCAGAGAAATGTACTTAAGTATAGTAACAAAGTATTTTGTACTCCACTACTTCCAACCTATGTGGATAATAAACGATGATGAAACATAGATTAAGGCTCAGAGCAACACGGGGAAAGTGTTGTTGAAGCTTCTCTAATGTCAGCATTAGCCCTGAACCACAGGTTATCTGTATGTATCCAAGCCTACCCTTTAAACCTTTTTATGGTAAAGCAGATAAGAACAAAGCAAATGAAGGTTCCACTGCTCCCATTATCTAGAAGGAAAAAAAACCTTGAACCAACTGCAACATGTCGATAATATCCTGCTATATACTGTGTTCAAAGAAACCCTTCAATAGTTTATACATTTTTTATTATCCCGATCATCTATATATTTGTCTTACTCTAATGCTGGTTTATTTCTATTTCTAGATGTTTTTATTTTAGAATTGTTTATTTCTACTCTTTTCATTTGTTATTATGTGCAATGCCTTGTTTTGTTTTATGCTTGGGAAAAACATGTTTTTCCCAATTCGGGATCAATAAAGTACGTCTTATCTTATCTTATAACCCTATTGATGATAGCCTGCTGGTTGTCTTTCCATTATTCATACAATTAATCACAGTTATTACATGGCTTAGTTGAATACTCGATTCTGATTGGTCAATTCAGAACACGTGACACGTTGTTAATCCAGAACAGACAGACCGCTGTCAAGAATTTATTGACCGTTGTTAAGGACTTATTGACCGTTGTTAAGGACTTATTGACCGTTGTTAAGGACGCTCACATCTGCACAAAGAAGTCCGGTTGATTGAACTGTATACAGTTTGGAACTGGGCCAAGAAAACAGAAGAGAAGTAGCGGGGCAGAAACCCTCCTTTGTACGCAGCGGTCCAGACATAGACATCAAACGGCCACACATATTCAGTGTGCAGTTCCTTTGGCATTAGGGCAGGGATATCTAGACACTTCCCAAGGTTGGACATCATGAATTGTGCTACTTTTAAAGAAAGCAGCGATGTTTTTTCTTAGCGGATGCTTTTCATTTTAAATAAATAATAGCGTACTATTTTTTAAATCAATAAAAACATTTTCTTAATCTATAAAAGCATTTTGTAATAAGCGGGATAATGTACAGCAGGGATGGGGAACCTTTTTCCACTCAAGGGCCATTTCAATGTTTTGAACATCCTCAGAGGGCCGTACAAATGATTGACCTCTGCTTAAAAATACTAAAATCACAGCCCATTCATTTGGCCTCTCTTTCATGCTGTGCAAAGAAAAAGCAACCTCTTAATCCAGATATCTCACCATGACTCGCGCATGCATTCACGTGCACGGTGTGGCATGACCACCACAACAGAAAGATATGGACACAAGACGTGTGCAAATGTATTTAGTTTCCTATCCATGTGAACATGATTTAAGTGGGGAGCGGACCTAACCCCCTCTAGGGGGGTCCGGGGGGCGTGCTCTTCCAAAACAGAAAGATATGGATTTTTTAATATTGAAGTTAAAAGCATCAATCTGGTGCACTTTGAGAGCAACATGAAGAGATCTATGGATACATCTCTCAAGACCCAGATGAAACAGAACTGTAAGCAGATGTTCTTTTTCTTTATGGATATTTTACAAATCACTCCCCTTTATCTCTTCTGTTTCTATAACTATAATGATCATATAAAGATGTGCCTTTACCTCACTGGTTGGAGAAAAAGCTTCTTATATTCGTTAGCATAGCTAGCTAACCAGATGCTAATAACAACAAAGTTATTGACTGTATGATCAGTATGACAGATGAACAGATCGCCACTGGGCTTTCAACTAAAGACACAGCCACGCAGAAACTGCTGCATGTGTACGGCTCCTTATGGGTACTGCAATTTTTGGAAGACCCGGAGCGACGTTCTGGTGCTTTCCGTCAGAACTACACTCCTGTCAGTCGAGACATATACCACGTGATGACACTTTAGGCTTGTGTTGTGTTCAAGGACCCTGACCTTGGCCAGGAAAAACAGGCACTCACTTTTTTAATTATTTTGCGGTCTAGATTTCTTTAATCTTTTTTTTTGCGTGTGTTTATAAATTACCTCGAGGGCCGTATCAAATGCTCTCGCGGAGGGGGGGGGGAGGTTCCCCACCTCTGGTGTACAGCAACGCGGTCATTATGGGGAAAAGAACACTCGACAGGCTGATCAGGAGCCCGAAGCGGATCTGGATCTGCATGAAGGCTGTAGGTGACCTTTAACTGATCGTTTGCTTACTTCTGCAGGGAGTAGAAGAGCGGTGCGATGAGCAGCAGCACCAGCAGGAGGACGAGGGCGCTGATGATCCCTGAGATCTGCGTCTGGCATCCGGTCGACTCCTTCACCAGCGTCTTGGTCAGCGCTGCGCTGGTGGTGAAACAGCGGAAGAACGACGGCAGGATGTTGCAGAAACCAATGGCGTACATCTCCTGGTTGGCGTCCACCGTGTAGCCGTGCTTCTTGGCGAACATCTCGGACAGAGAGACGGTGATGGCGAATCCTACGATGGCGATGGAGAAAGCATCGACGGCCACATTTGGGATCAGAGACCAAAGAGGCATCTGAGGAGGGAGGAAACCAGTGGGG